TTACGTTAGCACAGTTTGATAAAGAACAAACTTCCTTCTTACGAATTACATTTATTATCAAAAGTACTAGTGGCATCACAAAATTTTGGCTTTCGCATGTTTATGTGTATACGATAAGGAACTGCATTTCTATTCGCACACAGTTCACGCTATGTGTTGTGTTAGTGTTTTGGATAAACTTAAAATTGTAGCCACTTTCTTTACTTCAGAAAATTTACCATGATAGAAATAAACGTAAATAGTTTATTGGTATAAAGACTAAATTATTTTATTTTATTTTACAAATGCAATATTTATGTTAATAAAGTTCTGTTGTTTGATAGTATTGTTACGACAGCGGAAATCACGTCACGCTGCTGGCGTGTTGGCGCTGGTGGGCGTGCGTGATAAGTTTCTCGAATGATCAGGGAAGTCCGCGTGTGTTCGAGATGCCCTCTTCGTTAGTATATAAGCCTGGCAGAGAAAGCCAGCGGAAGAATAGTTAAATGAAGAAAGAGCAGTAGTTAATTTGAGTTCCGTGTAATTTATGATTCTGTTAGTTTCGAGCTAGTGAGCCGTAAAGTGTATTTTGTACTCTTCGAGAGCGAAGTAATCGAGATTGTGAATCGCTGTTATTTATAGCGTGTATTATAAAAGTTGTTAAGTTTAAAGTGACGAGAAACGTACTGATTGTGGAACTACTGTGTACTAAAAGTTTGTATCGAGGAAAAATGAACTGGTTTAATCAAGAAAGGATTTGTATCGCTGAAGATCCCCCGAAAGAATTTCTACCAGAAACAAACAAACAAACAAGCAGATACCTAACAGTATTATTTAATCATAACGTCCTTTTCCTAACCACATATACGTCAATAGTTATAAAAGTACGCCCTTGAACAATAAGTACGTCAAGTGTGATAACATTACATCCTTTATCTAACCTTAGACGTGACAAAGAAAGTGAACCTAGGTTTAAGCATGAGTTTTCACGGTATATTCCATTTCATGTGCTTTTAAATTGAATCTATACATCTGTGTATGGATTTTGCGTGAAGATCCTATTGGTAAGATGGTTACTTCAAGAAAATGAATTTGCTAGGGAGTGTGATGATTAGGACGCTTGATTCGCAACCTGCGGGTCGCGAACATGCTCGCCATTTTAGCCATGTGTGTGTGTGGGCGCGTTATAATGTGATTGCCAGTCCTACTATTTGTTGGTAAAAGAGTAGCCGGTGTTAACTATGTGCTAGCGCAGATAGCCCTCGAATAGCTTTGTGCAAAATTTATAAAAACCAAATCATTTGCTAAACTGTTTAGATTCTGTCACTGTGTGCCCATGTGTCGTATGATGTACCTTTCAAGTTGAAAATGCCAAAATTTCTTGTTCAGTAATGTATCCACTTGTTCATTTGGCTTTGGCTTTAATTTGACAATATATCTTCTATTAGGTTTTGGGTCACTAGAATATAAAATATGTTATAAATCGTTTGCTATTATTATTTATGTTTGATTACTGCCTTTTTTTTGGGGGGGGGGGTTCAATCCCAGTCATAAGTTTGTTTTACGTTCTGTAATGTGGCTTCTTTTGGTTTTGGGTGTTCCCTGTTTAATAATGTATCTTCTTACTTGAACTTGGATTTATGTTCAGTTTGGAAATGTATCTCCTTTTGATTTGTTATTTGTTCTCTAATCCGTAATGTATTTTATTTTTGAGTTTGTTTCTATGCGACTATATATATATAAATATATATATATATATATATTCTATTCACTTGGTTGCGGATGTTTTCGGCAGTGCATCCTATTCGGATTAGGCGTTTATTTCCTGCACAGTTATGCACCTTTTAGTTTTGAATTTATTACCGTTTGATGATATATTTTATTGGTTTGGCATTTGGTTCCTGTTTGGGGTGGGATGACCTAGTGGTTAGCGTGCCGGGCTGCTGATCGAAAAGGTCCAAGGTTTGAGCTATTATATGCTGCTGACCACGCTCCGTACTTTCAGCTGTGGAGGCTTTATAACAGTGAGAGTCAGTTCCGCTGTTTGGTTAAAAGTAGTCGTGTTTGCATTGGTCATTCCTCTGGTCAGCAGTTCTAACCTTGGAAGTTTCTGATCACATAAGACGACCTTCCGGTTGAGAATACCAAGTATCAAAATTTCTTGTTCAATCATAAGTTTGACTTTGAATTTGTTTTCTTTCCCGTAGTGTGTGTGTTATTTCTAGTATTAGATTTCGCATTTTCGGTAAAATATAAAAAAATGTGCATTTATTTAATGTAGATACCCAAATACTATTTGTTTCTATATTTTAACTCACGTTTTTCTTATATCACATGTTAAAGTTCTGTTAAAACAATAATTTAATGTTTTATATCTATTGAAAATAGTAATTAATTGTTTTAGTGAAGTCAGTTGTTAAATGAAAGCTCATATTAAGGGTAATAGGTTTATACTGTTTTGTACTGTTATACATTTCACAAATCATTTCTTGTGGGAAAGTATAAATAAGGCATAAATATGAGTGTGCATGAGAGAAAACGAAATTAGGTAATTAAACTATTTGAGAAAATACGAACAATGATTTCTCACCTTTTCATAGAGCTGTCACCTAGCGGAGAAAGACAGTAAATCGCGAATATTTAACGAAAATCGATCTTCACAATACTATAGGCGTATGTGTGTAATATACAGATTTATTTTATTTATTGGTTTTAGGTTTGTTTGTTTCAAAGCAAAGTCGGGTTGGGATATGTGTTGGAAATTCAATCTCAGATTTTAGCATTGTAACACCTTAGACTTAACGCTGTCCCACTAGGGGACTACTTGTTACAGCGAACTTTGTCTAGCTAGTTTTGTCACAATAAACATTCAATCCAATCTTCAACAACCTATAATATTTATAGTTAAAATATTTACTAATTGAGTTTTGAAATAAGATGATGGCAGTTTGACAGATAAGTGTGTTTATATGGTGCCTTTGTTGATACATATATTTTCAATACATTATCAGTTTGGATCTCCGGAATGACCAAGTTTGTTAGGCTAAGTAAGCTTGCCTTCGGTTCAAGAATCAGATTAAGTAGTGACCGTATAACAAACAATAGTGTAGCCAGTGATAAAGCTGAAAGAGACTTCCAAAATTTTGTGATATAAGCGGCTGTTCAGATAGTGTTACTGTTTAGTGTTTATTGAGTACTAGCAAACGTATTCCCAGGTGTGGTAATTATTTCGGTGGCTTCGGGTAGATGGCGGGATGGCTAAGATAAGATAGCAAAAAGGGGGAATACTGAAATAGCTGTCTGACTCGCAAAAATTAGGAAATTAATAAAGTAAGGTTTTTTTTAATCCCTTTGGGGCATACCCAATAATCCATTAAAGTTTTATGATGATCACAAGCTGAGAAGTTGGAAACTTTTGTCACAGACAAACACAAGCCACTTTAAGATACATGTAGCTATAGACTCAGACTAGGCTTAATTATTGTTGTGGTACAGATTACTTTTTTTTAAGTAATATCTAGAAGAAGTGAAACTAGCTGATTCGTTGTTGAATGTATAAGCTTTGATTAAAGTGAAGTTTTTACGGTTTAAGTGTTGTTTATCTATAAGTCAAGCACGTCAAGCCCCCTCACCAACACACACACACGCAAATAAATCCAGAGAAAAATCTATATAGAGTCACTATCCTGTTTTTTCACACTTTCGTATAAAAAAGAAATGACTTGGATAGCTCCGTTCGATTGTCAACTTCACAACTTTTAGTAATGGTTTGTGTGTTAGTCAAGAAACAAACATATAGGGCTCTTGCTAAATATATGCTTCCTGTTGCTAGTGGTTAAATATGTGAACACCCTGTGGGTAATTGCTGAATCAAAGAAAACACTTTATTCCTTATTTTGGATTTATCATGTGACTAATACTAAAGAACGAATGTGATTTTGTATGCTGAATACAAATTCGTTATTGTAAAAAGTGTTAGCAGTTAATGATTGTTAGCAAACAAGAGAAGTATAGTTTGCAATTTTCTCTTGTATTAGCCGAATTGTTTGTAAACTATGTTTATCGCTTTTAGGCGATTGAAACTTTGGTTGGCTCTATTTAATCTTGGTCCAGTGACCAAGTTTATGAAGGTCTTTGCTGTAAAGGAAGGTACTGCCGTTTCTAATTTGTTAAAACATCGTTTTTCCATATACATGGTGGCCCAAAAAATATATCCATCCTTTAAGTTATGCGTCTTCTGTATGTCGATTCTAAAAGCTTTGTTTTCATTTCAGATAATATTGGAAGACGTCTAAAAATAAACCCCAAACCATTGACGAATTAGAGCAACAGATCACAAATGTCTTCCATCGAATCAGAGTTGAAAATTGTATAACAGCGTGTCAGGCACTCCGTCGTAGATGTAATAATTGTTTGAATGCTGGTGAAGGCCAGTTTGAGCATCTCAAATGATGCAGCAGTGTAGGTACAATTAATTTGTTGTATGAAATATTAATAAAGATGTTCAGCCGGCTTGTAGGTTCATTTACTATAGTCATATGAGCATTCGAAATGTGGGTACATTGTTTTGGGCAACCCTGTATATAATTATAGATTTATAGACAACAGTGTTTTCTTGTTAGGAAAATAACAAAGTGGATTGAACAGATTAATGTAAAATTTTAATTCAATCTGTAGTCCTTGCTTGTTCCTGTAGCGTTCTTGTCTTAACACTGGTGTAACCAGTATAAAGGAACTGAAGCAAAAGATAGATGAAATCTTTCAACCCCGTTTCATTTTACGTTTTTATTATTTAGAACTTCACCAATAGATTTTTGAAACATTTCAGTGTGAACTAAACAAGTGCACATGAAATACATGAATTCATTCACGCTCATACAGTGAACCCCATCAACCCTAGTGACTTTGAATGGACGCGCTTCATTTCCGACTGGCAGAAAGCCACAAATAGCAGCGGTGCTCTGTGCAGCCGGGACAGTTTGTGCTGATTTTCAGTATGTTACCAAGTTACATTGGCAGCTTGGCAACGAGTAGGGGAAGGATACAAATTTAGTCACAGGCTGTTTCTTCTGAATCGCAGATTGCAATTAAGTCCTGCAAGAGCAGGATTGTGTAGAAAATCAATTACGCTGTTATTGAGAGCCATCTGGTTGTAAAAAAACGTAACATCTAAACTTTGGTGTTACAGTGCTGTAGGTGAAACTGCTCTTTCCCTACCTGTTGATAGGACAAAGGGCAACTGTGTTCCGACTTCTGAAAATCATGAGAATGAGATGTTCCAAAAGGTGAGATTCTTAAGCACTGGAATTTATTAAATTTGTTTTCGCGCGTACACACACGTTGAATTTTATTTTTATTATACCGACTTTACGTATTTATTTTTAATAGGAACATTAGCAAAGAGTTTGAATAATTCTAATTTTTAACCTATTAGCTTTTTCATGTAAACGTTTATTTACGTTAACAGTTGTTCTTTATAATTACAAGCGATTTTACGTTGATTTCCTGCCAGCTTTATAATTAGTAGTATGTTTACTTGATCAGGTTATACGAAAACATATAACAACTAGTATATATTAAGACTAAACACAAAACAACCAATTCTGGAATACGAATTATGACAAAGAGCATATTGATGTTTACGCGACAACTTAGTTTACGAAACTGTATGTACCAGTAAAAAGCAGTCACTTCGTAAAGCTTTAATTTGGTTCATTTCTAGGTCTTGTATATTCATCACACAAATAAATTTTTATTTTTAAGAATTATCTCGACATATTGGTATTCGCCCACACAGATTTGTTTCAGGGAAGTCTTTCAGAAATAAGGAGCATTTGTGTTGAGCTTTACCCCTGGTGGAATACCCATTACAACTGCACCAATTCTATGAAGGTTCGTTGTATTAAAAAGGAGGGTACGTTCACCTCTTGCATATTAACAATGATCGAGATTCAAAACGGGCAACTAGATAGTTGTTTAGTATAGTTAATAATTGACAGTTCCATAGTTAATAATTGACAGTCCCTGTAAAACTGCTTTCCCAACTTGCCACAACAATAAATAATAGAGCTGGGATCCCAAGGACTCGTGTTTATTACTTTGTAACACAGCTGAGCTTATAGGGGGGGGGGGAGATACCAAAAGAAAAAGCTATACGTATTGGGAACGAAACGTCATGAGGTAAGAATATCAACTCTTTTTCGAAATACTCACCCTCTGCGTTTTGAAAACCAACTTATATCTGAAAATCATGTCAGTTAGGATTTAATATTTCATTATTTATAAGGTAGCTTTGAAAAATTAAAGTCAGCGATTTTTATATCTAAATTGCTTGAACTGTGATCGTGGTATTTAGAACGTATACAACACGGTGTTTAGTGTGAAAGTTTATGTAGACAGCTGTTGACAAATGGGACTCCTCGCTATATTTTGCTGTTTGTATGTATGGGTGTGTTCTATTCGAATATTAGTTAGTTGTCTTTTATACTTGGGCATTACTTTAAAGATAAGCTGGAAATATAAAGTTTTTGAAAATTTTGATTTTTCAAATGTCTGTCTGGATTTAATGTTACGTTAAAACCGTTTATTTATACACGTACAAATAAAGCAAACTTAGTGCGTATTAGAGATATACTATACAAAATAGAGCATCATGCTGGTTTATTTTGAGAAGAAAAAAAGCAAAATTATTTTTTCAAGTTGCTTTATTGCAGTAATGACAATATTTTCAGAAGCGTAAAGTTTATTTACACGATCCATATACGACAATTATGAAAATATAGAAATACAGAGGTTGAATACGTCATATTAAAACGAGATTGAAGCCCCCACTGCGTCGTTACAGTCTATATATCGCCACGTTCGGTCATACTCTCTCTGACGACCGTGCATCTTTGAAATATCCCTGAAGCGTAGTTTACATGGCAAAAGTTCTCTGTCATAAGGCTGTCATGTCCAAAGCACACTTCTTCCTTATGCTTTCTATAAGTCATCTTGTATTCGAGGACGACGGCTTTCCATTTCAACAGTCCGGTCGCACAGAAATCTATATAGGTGCTGCCTGAAGTACGCGACGGATATGTCGTGGAAGAAACTTGTACCACGGCTGGGGTACGACTTCTTGCAGGTCTCTTTCTGGATGGTCATAGTACCACAAGTTCATCCACATTTCTTTGTTTTCCGACGCTATTAGATATAAAGGATATCGCCATCTTGGAAATTCCAAATCCTCGATCTGTACGAATCTTTACGATCTAAATTTATGAATATTTTACAGTTTTCGGTGTCATCACAATACCTACATAACACCAAACAATGCCAAATGTCTAAATCTGATACATGTCATTCTACGATGATTTTATATCGGTTGTGGCTGTCACTTGACTTGATAATTTGCTATTCAGAATCATTTTAATGTAAAATATTCGATCCCCCATACAAGAAAAAGGTCGTTCTGGGTTTACAGCCTCCCCCCCCTTCCCCCTATTTGCGCCAGTATAATTCGCTAAGTATAAAACTATATATAGAGGTAAAAGGGCTTAATACAAAGGTTAGTCATAAGCTGATAACTTTTTACTTTTTGTTATGTCGTTGGGTGCTCTTGACAGGGAAGGGATTAATTTTTTTAACATTTAAGTAGATTTGAAATATATTTAGCCATTTGCCCTTCAAACACACTAAGTTTTTAGCATGTTTTACTGCATTGTTTTATATGACAGAAATCTAACAGAAGTCAGAAAGACGATGGAATGTTTAGTCGTACGTTATCGATACTATAACGAAAGATCACAGTAAAGTAACAGTGCGATATTTCACTGAGAATTATAAGTAATGACAGACTAAGCCACAGTGCAGAGTAGCGTATGCCATCTGTCTCACATCCGGCGGCTTGTTCAGTTGCTGCACACCGATAGATGTTGACTTTAGGTCGGTGGAAAGAAACCATATTTGTCAGATGCTTTCCATGTGTCTGACATGTTGCCATACTTATGATATATATATATCAAGAATGGAAAGTTTTCTTTAAAGTATCTACTTTTGAATGTATTTAGTAATTTCCAGTACGGCATAGACTTCCTCAGACATTAATGGTGTACATTATGCATGGATATAGTTTAAATGTATTTCAGATACACACGCGATCGTTTGTCCTTATATGGCATTTTTAGGCACACAATGATTGGTGTTATTGTAGGCTTAGCATGTTTGCTTAATTAAATGACATATATATATATATATATATATATGCGCACACACACACACACCACACACACACACATATATATATATATATATATATATATA